AAGACTGAGAAACACGAATCGCAAACCGATTACTCGAAAGGATTCGGCGGTAAATACGGCGTTCAAACGGATCGCAAGGATAAGGAGGCGCACGGATGGGACGAAGTGACCAAAACTGAGAAACACTCGTCACAGACCGACTCCAGTCGTGGATTCGGCGGGAAGTTTGGCGTTGAGTCGGACAGAGTTGATAAGTCGGCCCACAGTTGGGCGCCAGAAAGCGAAGGCCCCAAAGGGGGACAGAGAGGTTCGGCCGCCGGCGCCGACAAACCGGCCGTCTCTAAGGGAAGTGCTAATAGTTTGAGAGCGAGATTTGAGAATATGGCCCGAAATGACGAGTCGGAAGTGAAACGCAGGGCCGAAGAGGAGAGGACCAGACGTCTGGAGCGCGAGAAAGAGGAGAAGGAGGCGGCGAAGAAGGCGGAGGAAGACAGGCAACAGAAGTTGAAGCTCGAGATCGAACAACGAGGCGGTGATAGCAATGATGAGGAGCCGGAAGAGCGACAGGAAAGGGAGGAAAGGGAACAGTCGTACAGAGAGTCGGTGTCGAGTCCGCGCGTTAACAAAATCGGCATTTCTGTGTTCCCGATGGCGTCGCCTAAGACCGCGTCTGAGCCCGAAGTCCGCACTTCATATGTGGCCCGAGAAGAGGTTCAAGAGAGCGATGACTCTAAATGGGAGGCCAGAGAAGAGTCCATTCGGCAGTCCATGACTTTAGCCAATGAAGTGATGACTAAAGTGACGAATCCTGAGCCCAAAGAAGAGGAGGAGAGACAGGATTTCGGAGAAAAGTCGACTCCGAGTAATAATAATAACGGTTCGCCGACAGGAATGACGGCTACGGCTCTATACGACTACGAAGCGGCCGATTTCGATGAGATTAGTTTCGATCCCGAAGAGCTGATCACCGATATAGAGATGATCGACGAGGGCTGGTGGCGCGGCCGGTGTCGCGGCAAAGTCGGCCTCTTTCCCGCCAATTATGTCCAATTGAACCAATGATCGACTCAATGGATTGTTTGATGCAATCGTCACTTAATTAGTAACACTTTTAACAATCGTTATGTGATTTAAATGGTATTTATAAACAAAACATAAAATAGTTTTGATAATAATTTATTATATAATTTAATCAATGAAATGATCAATTCTTCTTTAAAATGAATATATTTTTATCAATACTTTTAATTATTTTATAATTTTTCTCACGATATGCAAAATGAATGCCATATTTTTCACAACTTTTAATAATAAAGACATTTTAAAAGTTGCCTAAAAATTTTGGGCTCATATCTCATGCCTACAAATCGACAAAATCCAAGATATCGTTGGCTTCAATACACTTATCCAACCATTTCTGGCCAACGATATGAAACTTTTTGCTATTCTTTCGATTAATTTGCTTAAAATGATCGCTTCGTCGACGGCTTAGTATCACAACGTGTGACGGATTGTCGGCCAAACTGTGGACAACAGTCGCGCCATAGAATCGTACAATACTTTCTAGATATTTGGCCCGAAAGCTATCACACGAGTCCTCGTTGTCCACGAATACAGTCAGAGTTCTGAAGAAACTGGAGTCGCGTTCGTTCGGCCAGTTCTCGAACTCGAGGTCTGCAATCTCTTTGTTGGACAATCGGGGGATCAAATGCTCGGCAGACATGCCGTCAAACAATTCCTTCAACTCTAACTCAAAGATAGGCTCTGTATAGGAATCGCCGTATTTATCAAACTTATCACTCATTTTATGTCTACTCTCTTCCGTTTGACTCCATATATCACTCGGTGTCCAATCGGACAGTAGTCGGTCCGCAACACATCTCTGAACCCATGAATACTTAATTACGTTATATTTACCGCACTTTATATGACGCTTGACAGCTATTGTATCGCAATTGTCGGCTATAATACAGAAAGTCTTGTCGGGCGCCGGATTGGCCACCACTTTGCCGCCACATTCGCTGATCACGCGCTCTATCGACTGTTTGAGAGCGCAGTCTTTGAAAGGAACGACACAAAACTCTTTGGTCGCAAAGATATCGGATTTAACGATAACATCGGACACGTCTGTCAACTGATAGAGACGGGAAACAGTGGGTCCAGCCGTCACTCGCCGTCGTTTCTCTTCGGGTTCAACTTTCTCGTCATAACCGATAGCAGTGTTGGCTAACGACCCGTTCATGTGCCGCATGTCGTCCACAGTCATGCATTCGTGCCATTCCTTGTCGTCACGTATTTTCATCACTCGTGGAAATCTGTTGCATATTAGTGACTATGGCATTAGTGGCCAGCTAACTTATTAAAGCCGGCGAAAATGAACGTCATATTGACTTAAGAACCCAAGTTAGGTTTCCAGTCCAAAGTTAGCAGGCTTAAGTTCTTTAGGCGGACACTTTTTCTTATCAAATGGTCTCCAATGGTCTTTGAGTTTGTGCTGCAATTTCTGAAGCTCTTCGTTGGTATAACCCGTTCCCACACGACTTAGACTCACAAACCGTTCGGACGAAGAGTTCGTATCTTTTAGGCCGACGAAGAAGTGAGAGACACCTCGACTGCCATAACAGCCACCAATGATCAGAAGATCCAACTCATCCATAAGGCCGTCGATGTAATCAGGTTTGAGTTTAAGCCAACCGCCGCCCTGTCTTTTGTTCAGCTTATAGACAGAATCGCAAAGCTTTACAATAATTCCCTCGTCCTGTCGATCGATGGCCGCATTCATGGCTTCGATTATCTCCTCTTTGGTTTCGCAAACTTGCCGTTCCGTCACTCGAAGTCTATTATCAATTGGTTTTATGATTCGTTGCAATATTTCAACTCTTTGTTCAACAGGTTTTGTCGTCAATACCTCTCCATTGAGATACAGGACATCAAAAGCTATATAAAGCGGGTGTCGATCGGTATCTGATTTGGCGATTGCAAACTGTAGTTTTGGCCCAAGTCAAACACACTCGTTGGCTAGTGATGAGGAAAGTATCCGGTAGTAAAGAGGCAGATTATAGTGAAGTTGCTGCGATAGCAGTTTGGGCAGCCGATACTTACCTCTCAACGAATCGTTGAAAGCGTTGGAAAAGTCATTGCAATTACGGCTAAAGTATTTGTATTGATTGAGACGCTTATGGATCTGAAACCTCTGGCCGTCGTATTTGAGTTCAATGAAGAACTTCTTGTTGTTAATGAGCCGATCGATTGTCTTGAGTTTCACTCTTTCGGAGAGCATCGGAGAGAATGGATGAAAGAGTTGAATGCATTTCACACTCAACGGTACCGACGGATCCGATAAATCAACGCATACTTTATGCAAGTTATGGATCGTATCGTAGTATTCAATGGCATCGGAATGATATGTATTGAGAATAGTTGTGTCGCCAATACCTAAGTTCATGTCTTTCAACACAATCCTAACCAACCATTTGTTCTCCAGAGCTGTCATATTGTTGATCAGTTTAGTCAACACGTCTTCGGCGTCTGACACCCGGTTGTCTTCGTATGACTTACTGATGGCATCCAAATCACGGTTCAACTCATCCAAAGTAATGCGACCGTCGATGACGCGCGACCGGTGGCCCATCACTTCATACAAAACCGATCCGAAGTCCTTCTTCTGGTTGTTTTGGTCTCTATTAAAGTTCATTAACTTCTTCGCGTCGTCCGACTCTTTGCTTAAACACAAGATTTTTATGTATTTTTGTCTCAATTTATCGATTTTCATGCCGTAAGCGCTTCGACCCGAAGACTGTCCGCTATTATCGGCGACCATAACAGCGGCCATAGACTCGTCGGTCGGCGGACTGAATGTCTTCATGTCTTTGTGCGGACAGAGAAGTCTTAACGCGGGATAAAATGATTGGTCAGCCGACAGACCCATTGACTCGCGTTTCCACCACTGCTACTTGAAGAAGTTGTGGAGGAAGAAGAGGCCAGCTGAGGAAAACCTGAGTTAAAACAGCGTTTGAGACGTTTTCAGCCGTTTGAAACAGGAGAGCTGGTTACCAACTGGTGAAAAACACCGGTATACTCACCGATTGTTTCGCAAAACAAACCAAAAGTGAATTAAAATTTAAAAATCAAAACAAAAGTTTCGTCACTTCAATGAAATACCACAACACGTGACACACAGTAGAGGGCTATTCAGTCATTACGTATAGACCTATGGTTTGGTTAATAAAACACATTTTGAAAACCATTTTCAATACTAATTTAATGGTGAATATTATTGTCTATTTGTGGACCCCTTTTGTCCGTAACAGTAGTTTGTGAATGATTTGGACGACTGTTTGATGACAACACGTGACGGCAATTGACATACAGTTTGAAAAGTTTGAATGAATTTAAGCTTATTTTGTGGCAAACAATCTTACGGTCGGATTAATGGCACGAAAGTCGAGATCAACTAAAAGACAACAACAATCGGATGACAAGAATAGTGTCGCCGACTCTACGGTCAAAAAGGGTCGCAAAAGAGGTGTGAATTTGACGGACAGTGAGGTTAACGAAAGCAAAACGAAAGTGAGTCGACAATCAAAGCCAGAGATGTCCAGACTTTCGGTGGATTTCTTCCGCAACAAGTCGTGCACTGAGTTATCGAAAGCATAAAACCCTGTTTAGGACACGGCTTTTGACAGTGGGTTACCTGGGGAAGACTCCCCTGCATATCAGCTCTGCCTCCGGATAAACCCGCGGCTTCTGTTCCGCTCGCGGTGAATATTGCCGGCGGCTTGCGATCGCTTGGAGCCCTTGTATATGAGTTGTGGCACTTGTTTCGTATACTTCACGTATGGTATGTATTACTGTATGAATTTGTCGGCTTCGGGCGACGGACAGGCCGTCCTATTACGGGCTGTGGAACCGTTAGAAGGCATGGATACTATGCAAACACTTAGGGCTAAGTCTCGCAAAGCAAAGTCTGATAAACTGTTTGCCGACAAAATGCTGGCCAACGGACCCTCTAAGATGTGTATGGCTTTCGATATCAATAAGGATAACATCAATAAAGTGGACATCACTGACAGTGACTTAATATGGATTGAAAGGGCAGATACTGTTCCCGAAGAGAATATTGTGAGCACCGGTCGGGTCGGCATTCCCAGGGCTCAGGAGTGGGCCAACAAACCGCTCAGGTTTTACATCAAAAATAATCTCTTTATCAGCCAAAAGTAATTCATATAAATTTATATAAATTGTGTTTTTAATTACCAGTAAAACATTTTGTAATGTTAATGACAGAAAATTTAATAAAAACCATGTAATTATTAATTACTAATTAACCACTACTCTTACTAATCTTACTTAATGGCAAGAATTTGTTTCGATAAACTTTTGGCTGTTTCTTAATTTTGTTATTCCAACAAAACGGATATTTAGCCGTTGTTTTCAAATAATGATTACCAGAACTTCGGGCCAAAATACTAAGATAGCCCATAACAGCCACACCGATGCGGTCGGCGCACCGGCCGGTTGTGTAGTCGAGCCATGAATTGCATTTGAAAGCAATGAACGCACAGTTGGCCTGATTTCTCAACGACGCCTCCATGTAATAGAGAGCCGAGTTGTGGTCACACGTGCTTAAGACCTGTTTCTTTTGACACCGAGGCTGTCGAGTGCCGTTATTCGGGTAGAAGTCTATGTGTCCAACGGGTCCGACAAACCCTAACTCTCCAATCAATATGTTATTACCGGCACTCGTGTGTATAGAGTCTACGAAATAGGCATCCGATTGAGTCAAGTGAGAGCCCGGGAAGCCCTCGAACAGAGGCCCCGCAGCGTCCAGTGCTGGTCAAGTAAGTAATCATTTAATATATAACATATGCAATACTGTGTGCAATGTTTATGTAAAAATGCTGACCCGAAATGCGACCAAATTTCCAGAAATACTTGAATTGCGAGTATTTTCCGGCAAAGCCAGCGATCTGTGCGCCTAAACTGAAACCAAACAGATGTACATTAAAAGGGTTGGTTCGGCCGCTCAGACGCAAGTTCTCTACCAAATGAGCGATCTGTCGGCCGACCACTTGGGTATTAGTGGCCGCCTCTGTATACCAGGGCGCGAGTGCTCCGCCACTCCAGTCCACTATAATCACTGTCGATGTGTATGAAAAGTAAAGCAACGAATCTTTCAAAGCGATTATTTCGCTCTTATTGGCGTCATTAGCGAACCCGTGGATCAGTATTGCCAGCGGCTGTTCGGCCGCCACCGCATACAAACTCTGCGGTAGTTTTGGGTTTATTTCGACACTGTTTTTAGGTGTATAACGAGTGTAAGCAAAGAATCGGGTATTGATTTTGTCGGGAGTGGCCGGAAGTGCTCCGATGTGTTTCATCGGACCGTTTTTGAAGAAACAGTCGATTTCTTGAAAACATATGGACGCGTCCGACGAGTCTTTGTGAGCCACCGATCGTTTGCTTATTTGATTAAACGCTGAATAAATTGCTTCAAAAATTTGGTAATCATCGGAACAATTAATTGTAATGATTGGCAACAATATTAAGCCAACACTTAATAACATATTTCTCAATGAAGTCAATAAACACTTACGCAAAAGAGAGTGTCTTATAAGAATTGCTAATAACGTTAATATCATTACTAACGTAAAAGTTGTGTAAAAGCTATATGTTCACAATATAAAACATGTTTTAAAGGAATTTATAAAAGTTATCAATTATAAGTGATATTATTTGAAGTGTTTATAAAAGTAATTAATAATTCGATTACTAATTGATAATAATAAGCAATTATTAAATTCATGAGCTAACAACATATAAGTCAATGATATTTTATACAAACTTTGACTTCAAGAAAGTAATTAATATAAGTGTCACAAATGCTGAGCAATCATACGATAGTGTATGCAGTGATTGGAAAGTTCCCTGATTTTAGACTCAAGTGTTTATAAGTTATGTTTTAATTAATGTCTAAATGTTTAATACTTTTTATAATATTTTCCTAATGTTTTATTGTTGTATAAATCCCTAACCCTTAGCCCCAAAACGTGTATATAAGCCCTGCTTTGTGTGCATTGAGTTTAGTCTCGTTTTGGTTCTCATCTAATAAACAGTGTTTTAGTGAAGCCTAACGCGTGTCGTCTCTGCAGACTCTGTGGTCAGCCATCAGGTGGACGGGACAGGAGGGCGCCCTCCGGGATCCCGTACGTGAGTACACTCACAGGCCAGCCGTTGTGCTCCCCTGTGGCCACCGCCCCACACGACTGGTCGGCATTCCCCGCCCGGACGTGACGATCGCTGCCACCAATCCAGAAGAGGTGTTGCCCTCACTGGCCGGTCAGACATCCCCCGTTGAGGGCCTGACCCGAGTCGACACACAGCGCGGAGAGCATCCGCTGCGGAGAGGATCCGCTGCCGAGAGGATCGGCCATCACTCGAGAGAGCATCTCGTGTTCGTCCGCGTGTTCTGACATCCCCCGTTGAGGGCCTGACCCGAGTCGACACACAGCGCGGAGAGCATCCGCTGCGGAGAGGATCCGCTGCCGAGAGGATCGGCCATCACTCGAGAGAGCATCTCGTGTTCGTCCGCGTGTTCAGTGAACGCGCGCCCCAATCGCCGGACCTGTGAGAACCCAGCGCGGGGTCTCTCACACGCACCCGTTGCGCGCCCTACACTTCTCTGGCCACCCATTATTGTCCCCCAATAGTGGCCGCCGACCGAACCCACCCCTGGACTCAACCGATACCTCGCATTCGTTACATAAGTTATAAATGCCAAAAATGATGAATTAGAATACTCGTGGTCAACCTTTTTTAGCATATCACAAGTACAGATTCACAGTGTGCCATAAAAAGGCGGCGCATCGGTCAGTAACAAAGTTTAGGTTTGTCAGTATTAAACGAGAAACACTATGTGAAGGTCAACCTAATAGTTTCTCACCCATTTTTATAGTGGTTGGCTTTCAGTCTATCCAGAAAACGTCATTTAAAACAAAATTTAATTATTAAATACACATTTTAATGAGATTTCTGATAATTTAATGTTGTTTATGACAATTGGCTTTTCTACTCCAAGTTCCCAAAAGGAACTTGGTTGACCACGAGTAAATTAGAACTTCTAATCATTTAAGTCAATGATTGAGTAGTTATTTTAATAGCTTTTAATTGTTAATTTTATATAATTTATTAATTACTTCAAATAATTGATAAAAATAGCAAATGGATTTGGAAATGGATATATTTGACCAGGATCTTATTCGGGTTACTTTCAAATGCATTTGAATTGTAGATTATAGTGTAATCATTACACAAAGCTTATCAGCAAATGACAAATAAACGGGTATTAAATTATTTATTGAAATATAATTTTATATTTTAATAATATATTTATCGATAATATTGAGTGAAATGTTGAGCAGAAATACTGAACATAAGAAACACAACACAATTCTCACAAATTCTTCGACTGAATAGCAGTTAAAGAGATCCGGTTTTCGGATATATAACGGAAGCAATGGAATGGGTTTATAAGTGATTCGTTTGCCTCGATATCGACTCCATCTGCAATCGATGTCATCGGCGAGACAGTCGACCAATTGGTCGCTCAGCACTTTCTGATCCCTCAAACCTTTGATGACCGGATTTATGGACCGAAAGATCGTTATGTCGGACAACAACTCGAAGCGAATCACTTTCAGTAGCGATCGTTTGGTCTCAAAATTAAGTACCGATTTGTTGCGAATCACGTGTTCGACCACAACCTGAAAGATGAACACTTCGTGGACACCAAATGTGTCCCGACTTAACAACACAGACATCAGTCCAGGACTTATATAGAGTTTGTTTATGGTTTGGATCACTTGATCGGCGTTTGTGTCCAAATAGTCGAGACATACTTCTCTCAAACAAAACAAATGACATGTTTCTGACATTTCATATAAATCGCGCATAACTTCCATCACTTCTATGCCATTGGTTTCCGTCATTTCTGGATATCTTTCGATCACTTTCACCGAAAGCATACTTTCTATCCGTCGGAACTGATATCGATTGGCAGTGATTATAGTTTCGTTCATTTCCTGAAGAGTCCATTCAGTTGTGTCCACTTTGAAACCATAGCATATCATCAATACATTGATCAATGGTTGTAATAGTGTCTCCTCGAGTCTGATTCTATTAGTCTTGGATTCTAACCATTTACTCGACCCAAACATTGCCATAAAGTAATCACTTTCAGACATTACAATCGATTTATTAACTAAATATGTTGGACACAAAAATGTAAATTATATTAAATTTTATGTCAAACATAGAAAAGCATAGAAAAACAAACCTCTTATATGACTGTCATTTATATCGATCAATATATCCATTAGTTTATCGCTTCTCTTAAATGAAATATAATTGTTTTCTTCGACTAAATCCATGATTAGAATCAATTGAATACTTTTATAATTAGATTTAATAATTTAGTCACTAAAACAAATAAATTATAAGACAAATGCTAACACAATATTAGTCAAGATTCTTGACTCAAGAATATTCCGTTATTAAAATGCCAATTATTATGTGATATAATATACTGTTTAACTGATGATTAATGATAGCATGCATTAAAAGTTAATGACAGATAGTTAACAATAATGTTTAAACATTATGCTTATTATCTCAAGAATATTCTGTCATTAATGTACAGCTGTATAAAGTATATGATATTCCGATCAATATCCTAAATAGTGTACTACATCTACTGTATACAGTATGTAGTCAACTTTTATTAATATACCATAAACTGTGTGTTGAAAATTACATGTAATAAAATATAATTATTCTGTCGTTAAACACATTTAAATTAGATTTTATCTTAAAATTTAGATTTAAAGTTAATTTTAATAACAATTTTGATAGCAATGTAACTATAAGAAAAGGGGTTTAGAAAATGCACACAAATTTGTTACGATTTTTGTGAACAAATCAAACGCTTATTTGTTGTCAATTGTAAACCCTTTGTGTGCATCAAAACAGTACGTTATATGTGAACAGTACTGACGATCACACTTCGCGAGTGAATCCAAACAATGACTTAAAAGAGACCACAAATTGAGACAATTGTGACACAAATCCTGTGATATATCGGCTCTTGTATTGGGAGAGAGTGTCGTTGCGGACGAAGAGCTGCGGCGAAGACGCGGAAGTGGTTTGCGGTGATCAGCGATGGAGTACTCGCCGATCAACACATGTATGGCAGACATCGGGTCCAACATCGCTGCCGACCGCCAGACGGGTGTCTCGTGTGTGGCCTTCGACACCACCGAAGAGCTGCTATGGATGGCCAATATGTCGGGACACATGACCTCATACTACTCGTACACTCTGGACAAGTATACCTCCTTTCATGTCGACCACATCCACGACATACGGGATGTGTTAACGCCGACAACCGGTGTCCTCGCCCTCACCAAAGACTCTCTGCGGCTCTCAAAACGCCGCGGAATCACTGTTTTTAACCATAAGTCGGAGCTATTGATGCGAGACATGCAGTGTATGACTCTCTTGCCGTCGGGTCTGTTGCTGATGGCCGGCCATCAGGAGAAGCTCATCGAACTGGACATCGAGCGCGTCAAACACGTCCGCGTCACTGATATACCAGACAACGGGTGTGTTGTCATGAAACAACACCCGAGGTTTGTCTGTTTAGCTGATCCCAACGGAAAGGTAAGCGAACACAATGTGTGGTTTGTCTATTGTGTTGATTGATCCCATGATTATCTCTTTGCAGATCACACTTCGAGACACAGCGTCGCTGCAAATGCAGCGGGAATTCCAGTCACACTCGATGTTGTCCTCGTTTGACGTCTGCGGCAATTATCTAATAACGTGCGGCTTCTCTGAACGTCACGGCAATTACATCGCCGACCAGTTCTTAATGCTATACGACTTGCGACAGATGAAAGCCGTGGCTCCCATACCAGTGCCCAACTTCTCTCCCTATTTGATAAAGTTTTTGCCCAAATTCGCGGCCAAATGTTGTGTAGTGTCGCAAACGGGTCAGTTCCAGATCTTCGATGTGACCGACTATACGCAACGGTACATCCAGAACGTCCAGTTGCCGCCATCCGGCGCTTCCATCACTAGTTTCGACGTCTCGTCCACCGGTCAGGCGCTGGCCTTTGGCGACGATCACAATTACATCTATCTGTACGGCGCGTGCAGTGAAGTGGACTTCAATATGGGCAGCAAACCCACCGAATTCGCCGACCCTATAGAGCCGGTGCGTCCGGTGCCCATCACTGACATATATACTCCCATTTCAGAGATCTCTCCCTTTCCCTATTGGGCCATATCTGACAAATTGCTGTCCGATATGTCGCCCGATATTTGTCGCAAGACATACCGCCCGACGCCTGCCATTGATCCGGAAATTCTGCGAACACTAAGAATGGTTGGATCTATTGGTTACGCACCCAATCACGGAAAGAGACTTCACGTCCGCTCAACGGTGGCCACAGAGTCCGCACATAATTCCAAACGAAGTGAGTGTTGATTGAAATTTATTGTCAATTTATTTGAATGTTTGAATATTTGTAATCATATTTGAATGGTTTTTAATGTCTACAGACAGTCCAGAGGCCAATGAGATGCCGCACCGGTACTACTTCTTAGAGCCCAACTACGACAAGATGGACAAAGACGAGTACGACTTTCTCCGATACAATCACTCGCCATTCGCCGGACTCGACTCAACACTTCCCAACTCGTACTCCAATAATATGATCCAATCGTTGTATTTCATACGTCCTCTTCGGACCGGTATTATCGGTCACGTGTGTAAAAAGGAGTACTGTTTGATATGTGAGTTGGGATTCCTGTTCCATATGCTGGACATCGCCCCCAAACAGAGCCCGTGTATGGCCAACAACTTTCTGCGGGCCTTCCGGACAATGCCTGAGGCGTCGGCCCTTAATCTCATATTTCCCGACGACGAGGCCATCAGGAAAACCATTAATTACGCCAAACTGTCTCAACAGTGGCTTCGGTTTATTCTGAGCCAATTGGACTCCGAAGCGGCCAAAGGTCTGTGCGATGTGTTTGAAACCAACGACGAGTCCAACAATAAATCGGATTCCAATACAAACGAAACCACCTCTTCATTCATCACTGATCTGTTCTCACTATCGCTTCTACGGTGCTATCAATGCAAATGCGACCACAAGTGGGAACAGCCGCACACCTCATTCCCCATTACACTCAACTACCCGAACGACACCGTCAAGTGTACCTCTTTTGTAGACCTGTTGAGACACAGCGTTCTCACCGAACAGACAATACAAACCTATTGCGAAAAGTGCTCTAAATATCAACACGTGGTGGAGAGACGCGAAGCCAAAGCCATTCCGCACATACTGGCCATCAACACCGGTCTGGACAGCGAACAGGCCGTCCGTTTCTGGCGAAATCAAGTGGAAAATATGGCGACAAATGGCGACAATAGGTTAGCGACGCCTTGCCTTCAGGAGATGTCAACGCCGAAGAAGGCCTGTCGTTATGGCGACAATTGTAACAGAAGTGACTGCAAGTTCTCGCACGAGAAGAATCGTGAATCCGCTAAAGATATTGTGTCGTGGATTCCATTGTCTTTCGGAGTGACTGTCGACCAAACCAATGATAAAATAGACTTCACAGTCAAGACGGGCGAAGCCGACGGATGCGTTAACTATGAGCTCATGTCTGTCACTTCGGTGGTCAAGAAGAACGACTCACACATCGGAAACATTATTAGCGCCGTTAGAGTGGATAACGAATACTTCGAACAGAAGTCGGCGGCCGATGAATACCTCAACGATTGGTTTCTATTCAATCACTACTCAATTAATCCCATATCTGTGGAAGAAGTCGTCTCCAATGATCTCCAATGGAAAGTGCCCTCAGTTTTGATATACGTTCGCAAAGATTTGAATGATTTGCATCAGGATCTGCTCTCCATGAAGATCGCCGTCAATAGCGATGTGTTTGGCGAAGATATAGGTCTGGCGACCAAAGCCCGGCGCGGATCCATTTCGTTCACACCTTTGACCGGCGATGAAATGCCCAAAAAGGACGATATCGTCGCAATGGACGCCGAGTTTGTGACACTCAATCAGGAGGAGACAGAACTTCGGGCCGACGGCACGCGAACCACAATCAGACCGTCGCAGAAGTCAGTCGCCCGCATATCGTGCGTCCGCGGGTCGGGTGCGCTCGAAGGACAGCCATTCATCGACGACTACATCGCCACTCAAGACCAAGTGGCCGACTATATGACCAAATTCTCGGGCATACAGCCGGGCGACCTCGAAGTGGGCGTGTCGTCCAAACACCTGACAACACTCAAGTCAACGTATCTAAAGCTGCGTTTTCTGGTGGACACGGGTGTCATATTCGTGGGTCACGGCCTCCGCAACGACTTCCGTGTCATTAATCTGGTTGTGCCTCAGGAACAGGTGATCGACACTGTGTTGCTGTTCCAGTCGCCCAACTATAAGCGAATGGTGTCCCTCCGGTTCCTCGCCTGGCATTTCCTCGACATTCAGATCCAATCGGAAACACACGACTCCGTAGAGGACGCCAAGACTGCGCTCCTCCTCTACAACAAGTATCAGGAGCTCAAAGCGCTTAAGTGTGTGGAGGAGGCCATCGACAACCTGTATGACGTCGGCCGCAACTCCGGGTGGAGAGTCCCCGGCAGTGATGACGAGACGTAGCGGTGGCCACACTGTGTCCGCACAATCGGCGCCCGGCTTTGCGACTGAAACGCAAAAATAATTATTTTGACAAATTTTATAACTTTTTTACACAAAAATAATGTACAAATTATTGAAGCGTAAAGTTATTGAAATAAGTATTTATTTTCTGACATTATTTTCAAACCATTATCTTCTCTTCACATTGAATTCAATCGTGTTTTTGAAATAAAACTTTATTTTTAATAAAAAAAATACAATTAAACCTAGAGTTAAAGTTGTTTGTGAACGCAATACGTTTGTTGATTAATATTCTTGATTATAGACGGAATGGACTCTAAACTAATCTTAACGCCATTCGCGCGGTTCGATAGATATCTGTCGATTATGTAAGCATTGAATTGAGACAACTGTGGCTTCAGCTCATCGATAGCCATCCACTGGCAGTCGTCGATCTCATACTCACACTTCTTCACTGCCAGACCACTGCCGGTGCTGTCGGTGGCGGTACTGTCAGCGTCGGAATTGTTGGCCTTATGTGTCACTGGTTTCAAATGGCAGACAATGTATATATCGCTGCAATCGAAGGCAAACTTATGGATGTGTCTGAAGGATATCACAGACTGAAACTCGCACTCAATACCCGTCTCTTCGAGCACTTCCCGTACGGCTGTCTGTCCGAAGTCCTCGCCCTGAATGGCGTAACCGCCGGGAAATTTCCACATTTGCTGATTGCCGAAGAAGTGCTTCTCCTTCACCACCAAAACCCTGTCGTTATCGTCGATCACAAGACCGCCTAACGAGTGGCCACATAAGGGCCGATCATTTCGGATCAATCAAATGGCTATATATTAGGTATTTATAGTCTATACCGACGCCGACGTTAGTGAAGGCATAATCGGGAATATTCTTGGGCTCTGTTGTCGACAACCACTTATTCATAACCACGTAATCAGTCTTCGAGTGATGGAAAACGTAACCAAACTATCCGTCCATTCAATCAATGGTTTCATTAGTTATTCAAATATAAAAAGAAAGTAATGAATGAGTGATTACTTTGACTAAAGCGGGAATAAAATGCGTTAAATTGAGTCCAATTTGAAACCACGAAACCCGGTATTCCTCGCGAGTCCAGCGCTCAATGGCGTCTATAATCGGGGATCAGATATAGAAGTTAACCGTTAACTCCTATACTGACCACAATTGTGGTCAATGTTTGGTACAAACTATGCCTTAAGGGATATTCTGAATATCAGATTCATTAATGAAAGCATAGTTTGGACGCAAAGACTCGATGCAAACCTTTGAGCGAAGACTCGAACTCATGAGTGGACACGTGTGTCAACTGTGAGTCATTGCGTAACTCGATGTGAAGACCTCTGTAGCGGTCGGACTGACCCGTGAATAGCATTGTATGCGAGAAACGGACTAAACGTGCGCTCAATTCGTGATTCGCTAACGTTTTGCGCAAACAATACATTCACTCAAAACACCGCTTATTGTGTCAATCGATGCCAACCTATCACTCAATTCTGCACTCAATTCGCGATTACATAACCTGTCCTTCAATTTAAAAGCCCCTAACGTTTGACACGTGATTCAAATCATACGGCAATTGTGTGTCACGTGTTGTGTATGTATTGCATAACAGTGTGTGATATGAGTGTCACGTGTTTTGCGCTGTTGTTTACGCTTTCATAACGTTTTGGTTGTTTTGCTTTTCTGTTGACATCCAAACCAATTGATCCGCAGATATGGCAATGATTAAGACACCGACTAATCAGCAAAGGATGACAAACGTAGCCATCGTTCGGATGAAGAAATGCGGACAACGTTTTGAGATCGCGTGCTATAAGAATAAAGTGGTCTCTTATCGCCAGAAAGTGTATGTCTTGAGCGCACCTGAGATGCCATCCGATGATCATTGAATGACATTAACGTTATATCCATTGTATTGATTAGCGAGACAGACATCGATGAAGTCCTTCAGACACCGATGGTCTTCACGAATGTCTCCAAAGGACAGACCGCTAAGAAAGAAGATCTGATTAAGGCGTTCGGCACCGAAGACCACATGAAAGCGTGTCTCGAGGTATGAGGTGTTGGTTGTGGACAACGATTGCGTGCGATTATCAAACCATTCGCTCATTAAATGGTTGTATTGCATGTTATCCACAGATCCTATCGAAAGGAGAGCTACAGATCAGTGAGAAGGAGAGGTCTCATCAATTAGAGGGCACTTACAAAGAGATTGCGACCATAATTGCCGACAAATGCGTGAATCCGGAGACGAAGAGGCCGTATAGCGTGGGTATGATTGAGAAGTGTATGAAACAGTTGCACTTCTCAGTCAAACCCAACCGCAATAGCAAACAACAGGCCATTGAACTGATCCCTCAGCTCAAGACAGTGATGCCTATAGATAGGGCGCAAATGAAGCTCCGGGTCGTCACACACAAGAAGCATAAGCAGAAACTGAAAGAGTTGGCCACTAGTCTCGAGTCGGACACTATCGCCGAAGACGGACACATCGAAATGGTTTGTTTCGAAATACATGCAATGGATTATACATTTGTTTAGAAACTAAACACAATTTATTCAATTTATTTATAATTTGAAAAACAACCGTTAGATTAGATTAATAGTTAAATACCAGTAAAAAATATATATTTTTGTATAAAAATAATGATTTTTGTTGAATAGGTTTTTATGACAGATCCGGGAAACTACCGAATCATCGATCAGTTGGTCAACAGTACTCCCAAATCACAACTACATGTGCTGTTGTTGCAGGAGATGGAGGACGGAGAGGCATCACTCGAATGAAACGCCCGGCGCTCCCAACCCAACGCTCCAATATTCAAACCCCAATCCATTCAAATCTCTATATAAATTGTCGATTACATCAGTTTCTGTAAATAATTTTTATTACTTTAACCGATTTTTGTCTGCAAATGATTTAACAGTAAAATCTAACTTTAAATGCCATTACCTGTGAGTGTATTGTATATAATGACAGACCCGCCACCGCCAGCGCCCGTCAGTTTCGCTGACAAACCATACTTTTGCGCGCATTCAACGATCTTATCGATGGCCGGGTGGCCGACGCCTAAACAGTTTAGTAAATGCTGGTTCATTTCAAATAGTGTCTGAAAACAATGTTACCATTATTTTATACGCTTTCCCTTCATTTCGTATTCATTACAAACCGAAAACTCTTGAAAATCAGTATTTTGTTGAATGAGTTTCCACGCGTTCATTGATATGCCATCGATTGCCGACCAAATATTGTCGACAATGGCTGTGAATCTGTCATACTTTCGTCGGGCTATCTCTACCAACGCTTTGGTATTTCGCGGCACTTTTGTGTTGACGAGAATGACTGGCAGTGATTGCACTTTCGGTAACTTCTCGACGATTTGGCCGCTTCTGAATAGGAGAGCGCCGCCGAACGTGCAAATCGAGTTGTCTATACCCGACGGCCGGCCGTGAAATAGTTTGTCGATCTGAAAGGCCCACTCACTCACTAGATTGAGCTCAAAGTTTAGGCCAAACGCCTTCAATAGAGAGGCCGTTAAACCCACGGTGTATGACGAGGAAGAGCCCAGACCTGCGCTAATAGGCAAACAACTGGTGACAGTTATCTCGAGCGATGGTCTACTCGAAGAGCAATAGCTGTCATCGATGGCAAGATATAGGAATAGAAACGCTTTATAAGAGTTGATGATATTTGCGGCTAAACTGTTGTTAACAAGTTTTGCAACTTTTTCGCCTAAATTGTCTGTATATTCCAATACATTATTGAGTTGTTGTTTGTCATCAATCAATCGGATTTGTGACAACTCGTCGACCGACCACTCAATCGAGTCGTTAAAGTTAACGATATTAAGCACCACTTTATTTGAATTCTTTGTCAATCGTATGCATATATTAGTGTCCAAATCGACGCTTAAGGCCACCGCACTCTTCAACGCAATCATCGGTTAGAAGTGAATATAAAATTCAATATAATATTCAATGAAAGGCTACCTTTCCGTAGACCACAGCGTGCTCTCCATGTATGATAACTTTGCCGGGAGTGCGACATCTGATCACCTCTTCTTCGCTCATTGTCTGCACACAA